TAGAAGATGCTTTTTAAAAAATGCTTTGTGTACATTTATAAAAACTGCAACTACTGTATTTCTCAATTCCAGAACAAGTGACTAAAATGTTAATGGGTAGACATGAGCTAGAATCACAAAATAATTGATATGTAAAACAGAAGCAGTTGAAAGTGATGAATGAAGAAGTAATTTCACCTAATGATGAAATGCTGCGTCAGAGTAAATCAGGGCGATTCTCTGTTCGCCAGATCAACCAAAAGACAATGATGCTGAAAACTGCACATCTCAATCATATATATTTATAAATGTGGGAGGACTGTGACGGGAATCTTTTTTTTTTTTTTAATAACCTTAAACCAGTTTTTCATTAATGAAAGGTAGTTGGTCATGTGTCTCTCATTTAAAGTGTTTACTTCCTTGTATTGATGTATACTTTTACTTTAGAAAGACTGTGTATATCTTTATATGAATGTTCAAATAATGAATCCTAATTAAGAACTGCATTCAGGCGAAAACACAAAAAACTATGCACAATTACTATTGATGTGCTTTGCATTAAGAATGTTAAAATAGATTTTTTTTTCACTTGCCCCATAGCCTAGCCCTGCCCTTGTGTGTCAATTAAAAAAAAGTTGCACATACTGTACCTGTAGGTCCGTGCGTACACTCTTGGCAAAACAAGATCGTGCCACTCCTACTTCACATTTACATATTAACACGATTTTGAGAAAGAGAGTGAGGATTTAGTTTATTGTTCAAATTAGACTAAAATTAAAAACATGCACAAGCATGTTTTCTGATTTTTTTTATAGTGCTAAATAAAAATAAAACAACTTAGCACGCAACCACTAGTAACAGCAAATTCAAATTCTGTTGCATATTATACCCTATATAATAAATGCATGTACCGAATATTAAACCACAATTTAGCTCTAATTAGGAGATTTCTGGGAGAAACAGGATCATCCACTTTGACATAAAGGCAGTTTCACACAGGACACGGAAAGCCTGGTGGAGTGGTTATACTAGAATGATGGAAAGTTCATTTAGATTTAGAATAACTAATGAATTCATATCTTGTGAACAAATTATGAAAAATCTAATCTCTATTGCTGCCCTGAAGTCCTAGTTCGCCTAGAGGTATGTGGCAGGGAACTGACTTGTTATTCACAAAAAGTTTTAAGACCAATTAGCAATTATAATAATAACTAATAATAATAGATAAAGTAACACAGAACGGTGAAATTAGTTATGAGGAAAATTTCAACTTTAGCAGCAACAGTATTTAAACAAGTGGTTAACTTTTCACATATACATTTTCCATAAATGCTTGCTATTTCCATTAAACTATAGCCACTAGAGCCATAGCCGTTTTGTTTTGCCGTGCTATATTGCACTCAAAGAACCAAGAAATATTTTTCTATTACATTCTAAACTGTTAATTTGCCGTTTAGAAGATGCTTTTAAAAAATGCTTGGTGTGCATTTATAAAAACTGCAACTACTGTATTTCTCAATTCCAGAACAAGTGACTAAAATGTTAATGGGTAAACATAATGAGCTAGAATCACAAAACAATTGATATGTAAAACAAAAGCAGTTGAAAGTGATGAATGAAGAAGTAATTTCACCTAATGATGGAATGCTGCGTCAGAGTAAATCTCTCTCTCTTCGCCAGACCAACCAGAAGACAATGATGCTGAAAACTGCACATCTCAATCATATATATTTATAAATGTGGGAGGACTGTGACGGGAATCTAAGTACTTTTTTTTCATTAATGAAAGGTATGTAGTTGGACATGTGTCTGTCATTTAAAGCATTTACTTCCTTGTATTGATGTATACCTTTACCTTAGAAAGACTATATGTCTTTATATGAATGTTCAAATGAATCCTAATTAAGAACTGCATTCAGGCAAAAACAAAAAAACTAAGCACAATTACTATTGATGTGCTTTGCATTAAGAATGTTAAATAGAAATAGAAAGCTTAAATTATTTTTTTTCACTTGCCCTATAGCCCAAGTTGCACATACTGTAGGTCTGTGGCAAAACAAGATCGTGCCACTCCTACTTCACACTTACATTTTAACATGATTTTGAGAAAGAGAGTGAGGAGTTAGTTTATTGTTCAAATTAGACTAAAATTAAAAACATGCACAAGCATGATTTCTGTTTTTTGTTATTCTGCAAAATAAAAATAAAACAACTTAGCATGCAACCACTAACAGCAAATTCAAATTCTGTTGCATATTATAGAATATAATAAATGCATGTACTGAATATTACACCACAATTTAGCTCAAATTAGGAGATTTCTGGGAGAAACAGGATCATTTCCAGGTGCCACTTCTAAATTGGGCCATCAGTACCACTTTGACATAAAGGCAGTTTCACACAGGACACGGAAAGCCTGGTGGAGTGGTTATACTAGAATGATGGAGAGTTAACTTAGATTTAGAATAACTAATGAGGTCATAACTTGTGAACAAATTATGAAAAATCTAATCTCTATTGCTGCCCTGAATTCGCCTAGAGGTACACTAAAAAGGTTGCTGTATATTTTACAGTAACTTACTGGCAGTTGGATAAGTTACTGTAAAAGTGTTTACAGCATCAGCACTGTAATTTCATTTACAGTAATACAATTGTATACGGTATTAATATTGCAGTACAAGTACTATATTTTTAATTTACAGTACAAGTACCATATTTTAATTTACAGGAATAATACTGTAAATTGAATTCATTCAACTACTGTATTTTTATTTACAGTATTAGAATTGATTTCCTATTACAGATTCTTTTAAATGATTTACAGTAGAAAATAATTACAGTAGTAAACACATTTTCCCATAATCCTTGGCTACTTACAGTATTATACTGTTGGCAAATTTAAGAGTATTATACTGTACATATAACAGTAAAATACTGTTGAAAAATACAAAAATCAGTTACAGTATGTGAAAACCCTCGATAGAAGAGAGATAAAAAAGTGGGTTCCCCTCCCTCAGTATTTGTGGATTATTGTTTTTTTTAATATTATTGGGGTTTTGTAATACATTTCTCTTTTTTTCCAATTATTTAAAATATCTGATCACTCATCTAGAAACAACTTGTGAATCAACACCACAACAACTGAAGCAAACTTGTGAAATACAAAATGTACGTCACTGCCAATACAGTACATTTGATTTGGCCATGCTGTGAAAGAAAAATAAAGAAAGGTAAGGGTTTACTTGTGGTTCTAGTCAGTCTTGCTCCATTTATCACTAATAAGATTTTGAGATAAGACAAAAAAAATTTCATAAAGCAGACAGATAAGGTCAGTCAATTTTTTTGAATGAAAGCTGCATTAATTTGATAAAAAAAAAAACTGTAATATTGTGTATACAGCCATTTTCTATTTTAATACATTTTAAAATGTAATTTATTCATGCAACAGTGAAGCTGAATTTTCAGTATCAACAATAGTTATCAGTGTCACATCATCCCTCAGAAATCATTCAAAATACTGATTTGAAAATGATGATGAGACTGAAATGTTTGCACCATTTTAAACCTTTAATAATGTTAGTTAATAAAAATGCACTTGCTGGTTGTTAATTTTGACAAATGAAACCTTATTTAAAGTGTTACCGGTCCATAACGGACTCCTGTGGTAAGAATGGTGGCACTTTTACAGTTTACTCTGCTTTTCTTGGTGATCCTTTGTCTTGCTCACATTTCACGAAAACTCTTAAAGCATCTTGCTATTGTCAGACAAGTACGGCTGGTTTATCCTGCTGACATCGCACACATCAAACGACCCAGTTGAACAGGAAGTTTTGAATGACAAAATGAAATTATTTGCAACACATACAGTAAAGAAATGTGATATTCATTCTTTACATGCTAAGTTCTCGGATTTCTCATGAAGCTCCATGCTGGAGGCGTATTGTTTTCAGAGAAAGATGTGATCAACGAAAGATTAAGTCTCATTTCAGTCACATGCTTCACTTTGCGTGTCGGAATGTTTGAACCCAGACCACTACTCCACAGGTTTTTGGAGGTTTAATTCCATTTAGCCTACTGACATTTTTTTAGTGGTTCAAGTACAAAGTGCTGAAACCCTATTGTTATTGTTAATTTTCCCATGATGCAACATTCTACACATAAAACTGATCGGGCCGAACCAACCGTAAGTCGTAGAGACTTTAAACTTTGGGGGCTGGAAGAACTCACACCAGCTACAATGTCACCAAGGCACGCGCCGATCGGCCTGACAGGGGCACTACAGCTGCCAAAAGTATGAAATGGCTCATAACTGCTCAACCGTCAGACGTAGACTCAAGTGTCTTACATTGTTGGAATCCTTGGCTCAAGCAGGACACGATGCGCCCTGGATAAATTTTCGGGTATTTTGGGTTTTTCGTTAAAATCTACTCTTGCAAACTAGCCCCAGGTTTTTTGCCCGGCCAGAACCAAACCAGTGCAGCGAGATTCTATGGAGTCTGAATGTCAATAATTACCAAAAAAAAGTGGAAATTTCGGCTCACGGTCCCTAAGGGCCGCCAAAACGTCCCAAGTGGGAGCGAGCCCCTTTTACTAAATTGGCTATAACTTGTGAACGGAACGAGATGTTTTCACCAAACTCAGCGCGCCTGTGTCAGAGCTCATTCTGTTGTCGCATGAAAAAGGGCGGGGTAACTGCCCACTTGGTGGCGCTATAACTGCTAAAATAATGTATTTTAAATGGCACGCCTCATTCAGCCTGACGGGGGCGCTACAGCGTCCAAAAGTATGAAATGGCTCATAACTCCTCAACCTCAGGCGTAGGCCTAATCTGCCTCTTGAATTCTTACATTTTGAGCAAATTTGAGTTTATATGTCAATGAAGAACAAAAGCTGGAATGTGAACAGAGGAATACTGGCGATATCAGGTAAGAAAACTTTTTTTTTTTTTCTGACGGTTTAACTCACTGCATTTTGGATATAGATAGAGATAAGTTTAAATAAGGCAAAACAGAGGTGAAGAATAACAATTGGAGTATATATTAACCATCTTAGTGCTAAAAAACAGGCTTAATTAAATCAAATAATATACACTAGTGAAATATGTGCAACTTATTCACATTCACATCATGAATACAATTTATTGTCAAACAGAATTTTTGCATACAAACGGCAGGAAACGGGCACTAGCGAAGAGTGCGAAGCGTTCTAAAAGATTATAGATTTGTGGCTACATTGTACTGCAAGACATCTGAGATCACAAGAGAGACGACATTAATATTGCAGTTTGCAATGACACGTCTACATAATGCATTAATTACTCACACGCACAAGTATTCATATATTGCACTTTGGAGGGAATAAAGGTATTGGTTAAATAGATGTTAGAGAGTGTTCAATATAATCATCCCATTCCAACCCAGTCCAGGAGACTAAACTGGTCAGTGTTAAACATTACAGAAAATTGTATACATTACTGACATGACAGGCTATATTTGTGCAAAAATTACAATTCTCTCCCCCCTAAAAATTCACTGCGTCAACCATCATTATTTCCCAAAGATCTGATTCAAAAGACATCGTTCATTTAAAAACTTTGAGATACCTTAAATGCTACGTAAGTTGCATTGAGAATCTCTAAAAATAGACAAGAGTTTGATTTGCTGTAAATCAAACTTAGGAAGATGAAGCCAAAAAATAAAATGCATATAGTCCACATCACTTGCCAACTTGGCATCGATTACAATTTTTGCGGACCGCTCCACACAACACTTTATACACCGATTCACATTCAACTAGGGTTAAATGTCCAGAAAATTTAAAAGTACCTATATATTTCCAACCGAGTATAATCCGAAAACTTAACTATCTACAACAGATTTGTTCAAGGGTAACCATGATGAAACATCTAGCAAACAACTTTCAGAAGTTCTTCCAACAAGAGAACCAGCACTTGGGACAGAGTTCTTTATGCCAACAACATCCAGTTCTGGATCACCATCGCTAGAAGCTGGATAAGGACAAATCTACAGGACAAAGGAATATCAGAAAGATGCACTGAGTGTAAACACGTTTGCAGAGTTCTGAAACCAGAACACTTTCAGTTGAGAGTAGAACACATTGGTTTATCAGCTTAAATACTTCAACCAACACGAAGAGAGAGAAATGAGAATGGCAGCCCACTCTCGCTAATAAAGAATAACTTTAATTGGTAATACTTTACAATAATCTTCTATTAGTTGACATTAGTTAATGCATGTTTGGTGATAAAACATTAATTAAACCTAAAATTTAACAAAAAACACGTTTTGTTTCCAATATATTCCAAACCAGCTACTGCATTAACTAATGCATAGAACCTTATTTAATTAAAAGTATTACCTATTATAATAATAATAAAAAAAAAGTTTAGACATTGTTGTATATGATTAATTTGTAAAAGGTACAGTATTCACCAATGCGGTCCATTGCACTACAGGGAAATCAATTTAGGGATTTCACTTACACAACATAGAGGTGATCGTTTAATCATTGGTTTAATCAAAAATTTTCCAAAGCATAAGATTAACCCTCTTAACCAAGAACCAGCCACCTGAAAATGAGCCTAAAAGCCTTCCAAATCATTTAAAAGTGACGACTTAAACTGGATACTTAATCCACATCCCATGGCTCACCATGAAAAGTCAGCAAAAAGTACCACTGTACATTCAGTGCTCAGTTCATAAAGCAGATTTGCTTTCATTTAAAACAGAACAAACAAAATAAGACCACTCAGCAGTTTGCAACTAATCTGGAGTGCTACATGGTATGGTACGTATTGTGAGCAAGCTACTGATTTTAAACTGCTCCTATAGGAAGGCCACCTGACGACGAGATGGAAAAGGGATGACCGAGAGAAGCTCTACATCGTCTTGATTTCAACCCACTCGCTTGCTTGCTGTGAGTGCTTAGCCCTGTTTTTCTTTGGAGAGCTCTGTGTGAAGGCCTGAAACATGTGCTGGTGTTTTAGAAAGGAGTCTTGGAGATCTCCCGGGTGCAGCAGAGACAGAAGAGGCTTCATGCACCGGCAGGGCCACTCCGCCCTAAAAATGGTAACAAGAATCGAGAGCAGCCCACTACATGCTGGTAAATCTCAGTGTTAATGCTGCCAGAAAATTTGCCATGAGATTCTCCAGTCTGAAAATTTACCTTACAACAGTACACATAGATAATTGAGTTATATAGCTGTACATACACACGTTTATATACCATGCTACAGACACCAAAACGCACTGTATTGGTGTCGATGTGAGTGAGACTTTGGTACCGCTTCAATAACGTGGAACCTGCTCCATGCAACTAATTTCCCAGTGACTGAAGTAGTGTATTTTGACAACAGAATGTGAGCACGATGCACAACAATGGGTGAAAAAAAGGTATAAGAAGTTCGATTTAAAAAATAAAAATCTTCATAAAAAAAAAAAAAAAAAGAACTGCCAAGTCTAGCTCGGCATCTACAGCTGACGCGCGAGTTGCGTGTCAGATCGTATCTGAGCAAGTGCCAGTACCAGAGCCAAAGCGAGTATCACAGCCCACACGTATGTGTGCAAGTGGCCACTGGAGTCTCCATACTATTGTCCTGAGTGTCCCATCCATCTTAAGGCAAAGGACGGCACATGCGGAGTGATAGAAAGAGAGAGACGGAGAGAAAAGGGCACAACGCTTCAGGGAAGGCAGGACAGGATTGCCTCATAGCTGGTGCACTATGCTGTCAGCGTGATTGATGGATATAGGGCCATCCTGTCTCAGTCTCTGCCATTGAAATGTCGTGCTAAGCGATCCGACTTCCTCCTCTTCTTTCTCCTGCTCTTTAGCGAACTCCATGAAAACCTGAAAAACATGTACATGCTTTCAAAGAAATATGGTAAGGCCATGTATACAGACAGCTCGCTTTCGGGTTAAGCTTTCCGCAACTGAGCAACTAGGTTAAAGGTTGCCTGGTTGAGATGAAAAACGGATTGAAATTGTATATGGTGTGTGGATTGTGTGAATATAATGCATTTAATACAAGATCTGGCAACATAGACCTTATTCAGAGCAGCGCCATGACTGGTATGAACGTAGCCTGTGAGGGATAGACTTACCGTGTTTCCAATGGCATCCGCTGTAAAAAGCTGAATAAAGCTCCTAGATTACTAACAATTGTCCACAACTTACATTGTCGGGAGTTTGTCAACTGACATTTCTTGGAAAGATATTTTTCCAGTGTTTCATGAGCAGAACAATCCGAAAACACATTGAATAACAGTGCAGACCATTGAAGAGATGCATGACTATCCCTCACAGCCTCACTTTCATTCTCATTAAAAATCAAAGATGGCGCTGCCGTGAATAAGGTGTATTAGACAAACATATTGGCCCTAACTCGGAATGAATAATCGGACCATGCCAATTATGGGAGTTTCCCGGAAGAAATAACAAACCAGGAGGGGTCCGGGAGATAAGACTAAAAAAAAACAAAAAAAAAACAAGAGAAACCCAGGAAAAATGGGAGTGTTGACAGATAAGTAAAGAAAAGTACCAGTATCATGTGGGAGCGTTTTAATAAGTAGTAAACCAGGACGAATCAAGTGATGCCCATAAACTATACCTACAGTTTAAAAATTACTACACTGGCATATTTTTGAAGCACAAATCCTAATAAAAAAGTTAGTTTGTTTTTCAAATAAATATTTTTTTTGCAGTATTTTTAAAGGAGATCCAATAGTGACATACTTGTTCAAGGGTTGACTGGGAGAAGTTGTACTCTTCAAATTGAAAGTTCTGTTTAGCTGTGAAGACAAAGGTGAATGATCAAAATAGTATTTTTAACTCTTGACAAAACCTCTGGTTATTATGGGGTCCATTTCTTACCACTTTCCAACTGAGCAAATGACTTGGCTAGTGACTTCACATCTTCCATTGGGATTTTATACACCATTAGAGTGGCAAAACTGCAAAGATGAAAGACATGTTTAAAAAAAATAAAATAATAAAGTACTAACTCCCAGATGTTTTTACATTCTACTTTTATGTCATACATATTCAGTTTAGTGCTTTTCTATGATTCGGTTGGACTTTTTTTCCCCCAAGAGTCCATTTAACTTCTAATCCAATGCAGACACGCCTCACCTGTCCTGACGAGCAGCATGGGGAAATATCTTCAGTATCTCTTTGTGCAACAGCGCTACCTGCTGGAGACCCGTGAGCTCCTCCCTGAGATTAATCTCTAGGCTGTAGCCTCTGCCAAACTTCCCCTTCAAGTGCTGAATTGAGCCAATACACCTGCAGGGGGCGACATAAAACATAACAGGCTTTCTTTTCTGCTTTCCTTGCTTCCTCCAAATTCTCAATATGTCTATCCTAAAGCGAGGAACTAGCTTGATGATTGTCATCATTAACTGACGCATTTATCTGTCCCAGCCTCTCACCTCAGCTGACCCGAAACCATGATGGCCACACGGTCACACACAGCCTCCGCCTCTTCCATGTAGTGGGTGGTCAAAAGAGCCCCTCGCTGTTTGTTCTTAAAGGCAGCACGGATTGCCCTCCTATTGGAATGAACCACTGGATGTTTATTTTTGCAGTCCTCGGATTTATATCTACACGTTTATTAAAATGACTATGCATCATAGTATGCACAATACAAAAACTAAAACAGTGAACAGAAATTGAATGTAGTAAATTACCACATGCGCTGTTTTGATTTGGGATCCATCCCTGTAGATGGTTCGTCCAACAGAACTATCTGAGGATTTCCCAGCATGCTCAGTGCAAAGCACAACTAGCATGAAAAAAAAAAATAAGCCTACAGTACATGACAAAGTATGGTTTTCAATTTTCTATACTGAATTACATGTATTTTACTTACCTTCCTCTTAAGCCCAGCAGACAAGTTTTTTGCCTGTTTGTAAAGATGATCCTTTAGCTCTAGAGCATTTACAACACTGCAAAGACAGCCCACACACACAGTATTTAAAAATTGCCATGGAGGTCATACTGTATAATTTGTGTGATAGACAAACGGTCATATTGATGAGCAGTGACAAAATAGACCTGCTAAAGGCTGGTGAATTGAGAGCATTTTACAGCCATAAATCACGCTTAATGGGTTACAAAAGTGCATTTATAATTTTTTTTTTCATTTTTTTTTTTGTTTCTTCCATGACAATGTAATTTTATTCCCTTGAATATTTGCAGCAATGGTTAGATCATAGTCACCTGCAGCATTACAGTCAATAAAAATGCTTTCATTTGAGTCACTCTAAAATAAAATTAAAATTATATTTTAATATAATAATAATGGAGCAAAGTGTTTGAGCAAAATATATACAACATTTAAACCCTGCTATGTGCGTTTTAAAATCTCTGGAGTAATATGAGGCCTGTACGATTTTTTCCTTCAGCAAAATTATCAAAGGTGATTATCAGTGAAGATATTTAAAATATTACAAAAATGTTTTATTTCCTGTTCATTTGAACTTTCTATTCATTAAATGAGTGCCATTACATGAATTCATTATGTTTTAAAGAAATATGCAATTTACTAATAATTATACTATTTTAATACATTTAAAATATATTTATTTTTTTACTTTTTTCAAATAAAAATCAGCCTTGGAGAAAACATGTTTCAAAAACATTTAAAAAAGCTTTCCTAACCTCAAACCTTTGAATGGTAGCATAAATGTAAAATGAAAATGCAAAAAATAATTTATTTAAAAATACAACCGTGTACCGCTTAATGATGTTTGGGATATCTCGTTGATGCAGCCCCTTGATGGCAGCATAGATCTCCAGGTGCTCCAGTAGAGTGATTCTAGGCCACAGAGGGTTCACCTGAGGACAGTACCCAACATGCTCCAAGGGGTTCTCCACTGGCTGGAAGTCTGTGCCATAATCTCCCATCAGAATCTAAAAATCAGTATCAAATTAGGTAGAACAAGCCTCATGTTCAAAATAACTAAATCAGGTCAATTTTGAGCACAAACCTGTCCAGCATTGGGTTCAGTGTCTCCAGACAGCATGTGCATTATAGTGCTCTTTCCTGCTCCATTTGGTCCCAGCAGACCCAAAACCTCACCTGAGAAGGTCATTTTTCATTAACATCTGCTTGCTCTCTCTAACATCATTATTACAGTACAACAAATCAAGAAAAAAATATATATCTATACCTTTGCGAACACAGAAGGAGATGTTCTTAGTGGCCACTTTCCTTCTCTTGTTGAGCGAGAAGGCCTCCCTCTTGCCTTTGTACTGTTTCCTGAGGTTACTCACCACCACCACTGGCTTCTGAGAGAGAAAAAAACAAAAAGTTTTATTTCTCCACATTCAAATGTTGTTAGACAAAAACATGATTTGTGATAAAAGACTTAGAAAAGTAAGGTGTACCTCCTCACAGCACTGACAGGTCAACGCCTCCTTCACTCGAGCTTTCTCCATCTGAACGTCCTCATCCTCACTCACACTCTCCTCTGGGTTCCGCTGAGCTTTGCTCTTTGCTTGGGAGGAAATCCTTTAGAACAGAGTTCAGAGATCAAACTCCATTTCTTAATGATCTTGGATAGGGTTGCACCAGCAATTCATAAGGTTGCACTTAAATTACACACTATGTGGTTAGTAACTACTGCTTAGATTTGGTACTGAAAAGGTTTAAACCACATGTTCTTATATGCAACTCGATGAGGTCATAATTTCTGCATTAAATCACTTATTCACTTAATATTACATCTATCTTTATTGACTAATAAACAGCCTTCAAATGTGTATAGGAAGAAACATTGAAAAGTCATGCAGTGGTTTAAACTTATATTTTATTTACATTATGTGCAATTAACATGCAAATGCTTTCTACTTAAATACACTTGAGTTCAAAAGTTTGGGGTCAGTAAGACTAAGTTGTTTTTTTTGTTTTGTTTTTTTAAACCAGCTCAAGGCAGCTACATTTATTTGTATTTTAAATAGTCGTTTTATATTTGATTGTATTTTAAAATGTAATTTAATCCAGTGAATGGTAGTATAACTGTACAACAAACCAGCAAAATGATTTCATAGCAATCCCTGTTTAAATGTAAATATTCTGGAACAGCATCATGGGATATAAATAATAACGTCAATATTTGTATAAAAAATGATCATGAATCAGACAAAACATGAGCTCTTATAGATGTTATTGAAAACATTACTCCTGATGGGAGGCTTTGGTAAAAATGTATTTATGAAGTCAGACCTGCAGAGCTGGTCATTTTTCATGGTCTTCCCTCCATATCTGATCTCCAGACATCTCAGGGTAAAGAGCAGCAGGATACACTGGATATACGGCTATGGAAACCACAACGAACATTCAGCAAAAAAGACAGCCGTATCACAGACTTTGAGAATGTAAAATCATATTTAACTTACAGCCACAACAGAGATGAAGAGGTTCTTCCACAGGAAATCATCATCATGAGGGGACTGAAGAAAGGTGGCCTAGAATGCACAAGACATTTCAACATATATTAGGCTCAATTCCACTTCAGTTGATTGACTGCATATGATCCATGCTCTCAAACACTGAATAGATAAATTCCTGTGAGTGTTACCATGGTAATGCAGTTAAGGCAGCCCATAAGAGGGTAAAGTGGACTGAAGAAACACAGTGCATTGTGCAGTAGACGAGCGACACCAGAATTTTCATTCACAAGAGCCAGCTGGACTATGGATGCAGAGACCACACACAACTATGGGGAAAAAAAAAAAAAAAAAAAAAAAAAAAGAGCTTTAATACCCTCATACAGACACGTTTGAATTTGAAAAACAATTTTCAGGGTTTACACACCCCTAGAACAATGACTTCCCGTGACTTTGAGCTAAATACTTCAAATACAATAGTTAAAATAAATTATTTAATTAAAACTAATTTACTATAGGCATTCCCATAATTTTTTGGTCAATTAATTTCCAGTTAATTAATAATTACAATTTCAAAATGGCCTGAGATTTCATTCAGATGGCATTACTTACCATCATGGACAACACTGAGAAGAAGTCCCTATTGCTCTGGACTCTGACAAACATGAACGACACGCAGTATGTGAAGAGAACCATGGCTGGAGAAAAGCCAATCAGACACAGAGCCTGACAATGGAGAAAAGACAGTTATATAGTCGTCTGCTCTGTATTTTAAGCTTCAACAACTATGTTACAAAAGGTCTAGCGGCAGCAAATCGCTGTAAGGTGAAGCGTTTTCTTACCACAGACATGATGTTATGGGAGGTAAGCAGGTTTGTAGAATGAAAGGCAAACAGGGTGCTGGTCATACAGGTTAAGATGAGATAATAGAAAGGGACATCGATCGCTGCCTGACCACACCAGTACGCCGAAGGAACAAGACCAGAGATCCTCAAGGTCGAGCGACACTTCAACTGATGCAAATACAGTAAGAACAAAGTGGTTGAATTCAATGTATAACAACTCTGAAATATTATTTTAGGGACATTCTGATAATATTAAGCTTTTACAGCACCCTCAAATTAAGGCACCCGATTGCAAGTCGGTAAAAAAAAAAATCAGTAATATTGTGAAACAGTATTATATTTTATAATAACTGCATTTTAAAAAAAAACAGATAATGTATTCCTGAGATGGAAACGCTGAATTTATTTGAAACAATGTATAAGTCATTCTTGATCAACCTAATACATCATTGCTGAATAAAAGTAAAACACTGTCCCCAAACTTTAAAATAAAAAGCCAAACCAATACTATATGAATATACCTCTCTGTCTCGTGTGTGGTCCATTGCAAAGTAGGCAGGCATCCCAGCAGCCAGCATCCCAAGAATTACAGCCTCAATGTAAACCAGGGCGTAGGACGTCTTATCTGGGATTTGCTAAAATGCAAACAGAATACAGCTATAGACACTCGCAAGAAACCATAGTAGTGTCTGTACAATAACTTCAGCATATTAATGCACTGCACTTACATAGTCGAAAGGTTTAGTCCATGTTCTAATGCGTCCAGTGCCGTTAAAGCCCCTGAGGAGGGCGTTACTGAGCACATTGACAGCCATGGGCAAGGAGTGCACGGTGGTACTGTTAAATGCTAAAATGTAGTTAAAATCCTGGAATTCACATAAAGAGAAACAGCGAGAGAAGACAGGAACTGTTTAAATTATTTTTTTCAATAGAAGAATCATTTTAGGAAAAACTAAGGAGTGTAAAAGTGTAGAGAGATTAACCAATTGTACCGATAAGAAATTCTCTCACTCACCTTCCCGGATCCAGTCACATTGATGGCGGCGCTGACAGGCGCAGCAGACATGTAGTCTGGTTTATTCATCATTTCCACTTTAATGTCTTGAGACTCCAGATTGTGGATGAAACCTGTCAGGTCAGAATCTACCACAAACAAGTCAAATCTACATCAAATCATTTTGAACAAAAACAATGCCTTGAAATATCCTCAAACAAGCTTTATATGTATGAAGTGTTACTGACAGGAGGAGTTTTGCACAAGCAGGCTGCTGGTGTATTTATGAGGAGCCTCGTTGCGGCGCAGCAGGTATATAGGTGAAAACAGCCTTTCAGGAGAATGAATCTGAATGTTTCCTGTGGCCACAGATAGAATCAGCATTGCACACAAGAAAACCAGGAACAGCGTCAAACTGAGCAGAAGAGAAAAGACAAAAGTGTCAAGTCTCCTTAATAAATGCAAACCAGATAGTTTCAAAGCAGCTTCACAGTGATCAACAGGAAAATAATGGAAATAGTGTGACTTATGTCTGTGTATAACTCCTGAGTCATATGGATAATTCATTAGCAAACCTTTATTTCCCCCAGTCCCCATCACTTGTAATAGTATGGCTTTGAGTATGGTCTGGGTCACGTTCCATATAAATACAATGCAAAAGTTTGGGCACAGTAAGATATTTTAATGTTTTTAAAACAAATCTCTTATGCTCACCACGGATGAAAATATTGTAAAATATTATTACAATTATGTGTTGTCCATTTTAAGACATTTTAAAATTAATATATTCCTGTGATGGCAATGAATTTCCTGAATTTCAGCAGCCATTACTCCACTCTCCAGCGTCATATGATCAGAGCAAAATAACTTATTTACAAACTTCTGAACAGTAGTGTATATTATTACCATGCACGTGTGTTACTGAAATGCAAACATGATCAACTAGTACTTGTTAGCATTTGCTTACTTGTATATAATCGGTTTTCTCTCTCTCTGAAGGTTGAGCATGTGCAGCCAGGCCACAGTGCTAAACTGCTGCCTCCAGAGGGCATGACCGGTTACTGCATCCTGCCTGCTGTCTGAAAACGTCAGCAGCCTCTGGTCCGTGTCATCCAGAGAGCATGAGTCTCCCTCTTCTTCCACCTTCTCCTGGTTAAACACACTGTAGTCTACCAGTAAAGGAACACACAGATAGAGTGGGTGTTATACATTTTGAACACTTCACTATGCTGGTTCATTGTAACATTGATACGTTTTTTTTTTCCCCCTCCATTTCATTTTGAAGTGTGACGGTTGGAAGTGGTTTAGGTAGGTGGTTATCTTACCAGCCTGATCCACTTCTGCTTCTGCCTCTAGACGCAGGAATACATCCTCTAGCGTTGTCATGGAGACACCATAGTTAATGATACCCAGGTCAGGTCGACAGTCTAGCTCCGCAAATAGCCCTGAAATGCAACATGAGAGAAAGTCATGAGGAGTAGGAAGTGGAACCATAAAATGTGTAAATATTTTTGGAGTACAAATGCGTAATGAACAAGATAACTAATCACAAACACGGACAAAAAAATTGTCATAATTTACTAACCCTCAAGTCATTCCAAACCCACATGGTATTGTTTCTTAAAATGAAAGGAATAATTTTCGAAAAACATTCAGGTTTATATAATGAGTGAAAAACGCACACCTTGTGCTAGACAAAAGTAATACAGGTTAAATACAAACTAAGCTTGAAGTAAACACTCAGCTAACATCCCAGACTTACACAATAAATCAATATAAAATTAAATAAAACTGCCCCAATAAAACGCCACCACAGTCCTGGTGACAGCATGACACAATCTGTTGCTCCGCAGGGCATATGGCAGCATGACACATAGCAGATGGTGACATGAGGGCAAATAGAAACAAGACCTGGGAAAGTGTCCATGCTCTCGAAAGGCAACGTGAACGTAAGCTCAGCCTCTTGCTGCCTTGACAACTGAGCTTTGGGAACATGATTCTTGACCAGTGATGCGATGTTGTCCACCTCACAGCCTTCAGTCACAGACATTCTACAAGAGGTTTAGAATGACAACGTTAATGTCGTAATGTCCTGGGTGACAAAGAAAAAAGAAAATGTTTTCTTATCATAAAACTGACCTGAGATGGTAGCCAACCCCACATTTGGTCTTCAAGTACAAAGAGGAACCAACACATTTTAGCTGTCCTTGAGAGATGACAGCTTTACGATCTGAGTGACGGAAAACGCACAGAGGTGTGTGAGATTGAGACAGATGACTGATGGAAGAGAAGAGAAAAATGAGAAAAGTACCTGCAAGTATATCTGCCTCATCCATGTAATGAGTGCTGAGTACAGTAACTCTGCCTGCTTTACGGCTCTTCAGTAAGGACCAAACCTGGTGCCGAGACACTGGGTCCATGCCGGCCGTAGGCTCATCGAGTAGGAGGACCTGATTCAGAAGCAAAAAGACAGATGTCGATGGAGGGGGATAACTAAGTAAATGGATCAAGAAAGTCACCGGTATAAGTGGTCAGACATTTACCTTTGGGTCTCCGAGAACTGCTATGCCCACAGAGAGCTTCCTCTTCTGGCCTCCACTCAGGTTCTTCGCCTGGGCATCCATAATCTTTTCCAAATCCAGATCCTTTAGAACCTTCCTCACCTTAAAAAGAGAGATAGCTTAAACCAGAAAGGGCAACAAACACAGATTACTAGGGAAGCACCAAAAATGAAAATTTTGGCCGATACCGATAACCGATAATTTTTTATATTTGAAAGCCGATAACAGATATGTCTACCGATAAACTTAAATCCAAATTTTTATCTAATTTTGAGAGCCTGATTACAAAAACAAAAGTCGCCCAATTAAATACATGTCCCAAGCACACAATTATAATGATGTTCTCATTATAGTGTTGTATAGCCGATATGACAGATTTGCGGTGCACATGTTGTACCGAACCGTATTTTCATTTTTTTAAGAGATTTCAATCATATTTCAAGAAATTCAAAAACATAAACATTGCTAAACAAGTGTCTCAGCTGAAGGGAATATTACATTATTTATCGGCTTTAATATAGCGGCCACGTTTTCTTACCAGGCCGATAACGATGACATTAAAAATGAACATATATCGGCCGATACCGATATGCTGGCCGATATATCGTGCATCCCTAAAGATTACACAATCTATTAACTGGGTGGATCTGGATTTATTGTGTTTTTTTATGTACTACCATTCAAAGGTTTGTGGTCAGTAAGATTTTTTGTTGTTGAAAAAATACATTTATTCGGTAAGGAACATGATCAAAAGTGAGAGTAAAGACAGTTTTCAACATTGCTAAGAAGAAATGTTTCTTGAGCAGCAAATTAGCATATTAGAAAGAATTCTGAAGAATTATGTGACACTGAAGACTGGAGTAATGATGCTGAAAATTGTGTTTGCCATCACAAGAATTATAAATATTAAAATAAAATATATTAAAATATAAATCATTTATTTTTTAATTATAATATTATTACACATTTACATTTCGCTGTTTTATTGTATTTTTGATGGGGAAAAGATGACTTCTTTCAAAAACAATTTTAAACAAATCATACTGACCCCAAACTATTGAGCGGTAATGGTACCTATGGAGAAAAACCAATGGAAAAAATACTTCTAGAACCAAGAACACTGAAAAGTGTATCGCCACCGTTTCACTCAATAATGGACATAATTAAACATGCAGGGTGGAGTTGATGGGCTTGTTCGACTTCATGCAGCTCTGCGCAGACCGATCGGTGGCTAACTTGAAACAGTGCATGTCGGTTCGAAATTTTGTCCGACTTGATGCAGCGACTGTGACGTATGCCATCAAAGTAACGCGAGAGCGATTCGAGAGTAGCCGGAGGACTCAACCAGTGCAGCTTCTCAAGAGAGGCTGCACAAGCTTTTACGATTACGACACAGCTGTTCCACGATTCACTGCATGACAACAATCACATGCATTACGTGTTTATTCTCACACCTTTAGTTCCACTAAAGCTCACAAATCAGTTTTTTATAGGAGTAAACATTCTTTTCATGTAGTCGCGATGTATTGTGTCATGTTTATCAAAATAAAAATGATTAAAATTGTTGACTCAACTTCATTGATTTAGGCTTATTTTGAACTTTATTCTAGTTCGAACAGAAGCTGTATGAAGCAGTAAAGTATTGTGTCTGAAATATCTGTGTATTTGGCAAATATTGCATTTGTTTCACTTCAGCTGTGAGCGGTCACTACGGGAACCAGAAAGGGTCCGACTTCACGTCTCCTTTTGCAGCTCCTCCCAGCTTGCACGCAGCTACTCTCGCTTACATCCAGCCGCAGCCGATGTCAAACACACCTGATGTCAAATCAGCTCTCTTGGAGCATGGTTTGCTTTTAAATTTCCCATACAACATGAAGTCAGCTGATGTCTGTAGATCCACTGGGAGTTCCTACCTCACCGTCAATATCAGAGGGCAGGATCCCTTTGATGGCAGCAAAGATCCTCAGGTGTTCCTCTACAGTGAGGACATCAAAGATGATGTTGAACTGGGGACATATACCAACCAGCTGTTTCATCTCGGCCCCCTCTGCAATCTCGGCCACTGGAGATCCATAGATGGTTGCGGTGCCTGTGCGTAAGACACACAAAAACAAAGTGTGTGGCAGCAGTACAACATTTCATCTTTTCCACGCACTCAGGTAGAGGTAAATGTGTTTATAAAAAAAGTAGTTTTTCAAAACTAGCATCTATGCATTGCATGTCTGACCTTCTGTAGGGGGGCAGATGCCACACAGGATGTTCATGAGGGTGGATTTTCCTGCTCCACTGTGACCCAGCAGGGCTGTGATCTGACCCTCATAGATGTCAAAAGTCAAACCTTTAGATAAAAAGTAGAATACAAAACATACACCTTTATGTCAGAACCAAAAGTCTCTTGTCATAAACAACTAGTACCCAAAAAGTGTTCTTTGAGATTTTGGACAATAAAAGTATGGATTGAAAATGGGATTTTGTCTTGACTTAGCATTTTACCTGCAACATAATTACAACAATTTAGTTCTAAAATCCATAAATACTGACTAAGTGTAAAAACAGAAGTCACGATTTGGACACAGGTGGGAAGTCTCACCTCTCAAAGCCTCCACTTTGTTGTCTTTCTCCTTGTAGATTTTACGGATATTACAGATCCTAAGAAGAGTAAAAATATAAACAAAGCATGTGATGGATATTAAATGGTCATTCTGGCTGCAAGCCAGCTCTCTTCATGTCCAAATCTTTTCTAAGGATTTTGAAGGCTTTTAACATCAGCTCTAAAAACATTGCTCCCTTTCCCAAACTGCTCCCTAAATCACTTCGCTAGTCTGATTTCAGAATACCACGGTACAACATATTTACAAAAAAAACCCTAGAATATAAAATAGAATATATAAATTCTTATATTGAAATAAAATAAAAATTCATGAAAGAATCAGGGGGGCATGGATTTTAAATAAATCTTTTTGTAAAATATTTAAATTGACATCAATTAAAAGCAATGCTCCGAACAGGATTTTTGCAGCCGATGCATTGCGTTTGATGCAATGTATTGATTTATTTTGTTATTATATTATTATTCATGCTTGACATAAGGTCGTATAGTCAAGTTTGGACTCGTTCACAATCAGGTCAACTGCATCTGGGCCAAATATTGTGTTGATATCTTAAAGAAATCATACGTTATGGCATTTGGAATCATGGCAGCCTTTTTATCAAAAGTCCAAAACCTCTCCAAACAAGTGATCAGAGTGTTTGACTGAATAAAATGCAGTGGCCCCCACACTTCCGCAATCCATGGTTACAATGCAGAATGTGGTGCAAAAGCCTCAGCCGTTTTTTTTTTTTTTTTTTTTACGTCATAAAATTGCGATTGGTGCGTGAGATTGGTCAAATTAAGTGACCAAGACTAGTCAGAGAATGTGACTGATCGGAGAGCCCCTATTGATAAATGAATTAAAATAGACATTGACCATTTTAGGAGTAAAGTACCTGATAACCTCTTTGCCTCTAAATTCAGGAGAAACCGCCTCCACTGATTCATCATTCACAGGGGTTCCGTTCACCTCGCCCTCGTACACAGAGCTCACCTCCACATAGCGCTTCCTTCGCTTTGACCAGTAGGATGGCTGTAGGAAGTACAGCACTGAGCGCCTTGTGCCAAACTCGCCTAAAGGAACAAATGGTCATGTAAGTGAGAAGCTCAAAACGCCTCCATCTCAGTAAAATGATGACTAATTCTTTAGTGTAGCCTCACAATGTATGAATTTTATGTTGTGGAATTTGCAAATACTGTTAAACCTTTTCTCAGAACTAACTGTTGTGTTTACGTAAATGTTCAGCTTCAAAAGTGTGCTTGTGGCATCTTTGTTTTAGGAATTATTTTTGTCTAATGCAAAAAAAAAAAAAAAAAAACTTTATGGAGCTGCACTAACTGTCCAGTAAATGAACAAGCTTTTTTTTTCTTTTTTTCTCAATGGTATAAAGTTGTCTGAATATAAACAATGTTAAGGACTGGAACTCTTTTTCATCTTTATCAGATTCAGAAAATAAGAGAACATTTGGTTAGAGGTCTTCTTGTATCCTTTATGTAGTTTTATATCCCTTTATTTAGTTGATTAGTTTGGCCTGCATTTAAATTTTAGTTTTTTGTAATCGATCTGGCTTTTTTTCTACTTGGGCAAGCACCTCGGAGAAGATAAACTGCTCATAAGCATTACATTTCATTTCAATGACAAGAAAATGTATATATAAATGTTAATATTCAGAATAAAATCCACACTCTCATCCTCTAATGGGTCGGATCTTGCAGAACGCAGTTTATGTGGAGCGCACCATCAGGTCGGACCTCAGATCTTTGGAATCAAGTGGACCCGTGAAGACCCCCAGTTTATGCAAAACGCTTTGACTCAAGTTGTCACCTGGTAGCACTTGGTCCAGGTAAATGGCTACAAGTAGGTAGAGAATGCAGTCCAAGAACAGCATGACCATGGGAACATAGAGTGCGTGAGGACCAATGCCAAGAGTGGAGAACACAGCGCCGTCCCCTTGAGCTTCCAGATACACCACCTACACATACACAAAAACAGTGCCATAATATACATTTTATTTTATGTATACTGTGACACTCAATTTTTTAATGTTCATTTAACTGATCCAAATACAGTATAATTGAGACATTAAAATTTAAAACAACCGTTTTAATTTATTTTGAAAATATAAGCTACATTTTCGGCAGTCGTTACCCCAGTCTTCAATGTCAAATGATACTTTAGAAATATATACAAGAACCGATAACTCAGAAGAATGCAAATGTGAACCTTGAAATGAATAAATAAATAAATAAATACATAGAAATAAATTAAAACAAAAAATAAATAAATTAAAATAAATAAATAATAAATTAAATTAATATAAATAAATTAAAATATAAATACATTAAATAAATTATAAACATATATATATATATATATATATATATATATATATATAAAAATCACTGTTCTCATATGTGTTTCTTGGCAAACGGTCCTATAACCTAGGAGATCGCTGTTATACAATGGAGCATGTTTATGTAAAAGTGTGTTACCTGGGCAATGCCGATAGAGAAGGCGCTGGGGGACAGAAGGCAGAGGAGCCACACAGCTGACTGGGGGAAATCTCTCATCAGCACAGTGAAAAGAGACAGACATCCAAACACCACAGTGAGCATGGAGCCCACTGTACTCGCAAACTTGGGCTTCTTAAACAAAGGGGTCAACATGAAGGAGAAGAAAATCTGTGGGATTGAGAAGTAGAAAAAAAAAAAAAAAATCAGTCCCATAGACCCCACTTGTCACGATACAATCGCCCCAACGGATAAAACCAAGACCTGCCCTGCATTTTGCAATCGTTGTACAGTATATCTGCTCCATTCAGAAATGCCACTTTATGAAAATCACTTACAAATGCAGTTTCAAGTTGACTCAGGAAAAAAAACAACACTTTAATGCTGAAACAACTATAATAACTATAAATAAAACAGCATATTTTCATAAATATATTCAAGCTTTAAATATATTTAGCATTTTGTCCAATTTTTCCAGTACAGTAACACTCCTCGCAGCAAACCCGAAAACCAACGCAGCTGAAAACAATTTAGCCTTGGAAAACAAAAATGAATAATATTCAGTATAAAGCTGAAGATTAGTCCATCATTAACATGACTACTCTCCCTGTGGGAGGAAATGGAGACATGAGGTCAAATGAGTGCACCTCCATTTAAATAGATTTACACTCTAAAGTCGCTATTGTTCAGACCGTCACTGGATGTGACAGAAGGGTTGCTAGGACTCACGGAGGATATTCCATAGAGGAAAATGAGGAGGAAGATGACAAAGAAGTTGCTGTTGGAGAACAGGGGCGTGCAGGTTGCTATAACAGCCATGAGAATGGACATGGTCGTCACTAGTGCGGCATAGAGAAGGCCCCATGAAAGCCTAAAGAAAGCAAATGAGAACTTTACAAACGGATACATTTTACAATATTTAAACCAGCTATGACTTACAATTACTTCATTTCTGGTTCTGCAGTAGACACACTTACCAAAAGGCAGAGTCATACAGTCCCATCATGCTCATGGTGTCTTTCAGCCGCTGCTCTTTTTCAGCAGCCACATTGACAATAAGGAAGGACACAAAGGGTGTAAATGCCAGCACTAGATAGATGGAGATCAGGGCGTGAGGGAACTTCTGGACCTCCACTGAACCTGGATGTCCCATCATCACTGCACGCACTTTTAATTCGTTCCACACGGGGCGTTTGGTCTTCAACTGCAGAAGGATGAAGCAATTACTATTGAAACAAAAGAGCTCCCCACGGACCGTAAATTTCCTCCTATAACTTTATATTCATTAAAGAATCCTGAAAAAAAAGGTTTCCACAAGGGGTTTCAACATTGATAGTAAAAATAAACATTTCTTGATCACCAAATCAGCATTTTGGAAAAGTTTCATGTGACTGGAGGAATGGAAGCTATTACACAGGAATAATTATATTTTAATATATATATATATATATATATATATATATAAAGTTCTTATAGATTGTACAAATATTTCACAATATTACAGTATTTTTGATCAAATAAAAGGCAGCCTGTGTGAGAATTTGTGGCTTTAAAACTTTTTAAATAATAATCACTATCACTCAAAACCCTAAACTTTTGAACAGTGGCATACAGTTATCTCAGACTTCATCAGGGAGATGCACACACTGCTAATTACAGCTACACTGCTTAAATACCAATACATTATTCATCCATGTCATTTCAAACCTGTATAATGGCAGCATCAATGAGAGACTGCAGCCGTACGAATCCAGAATACCAGTAGTTGGCAGCACGGCAGTTGACATAGTTTGTGTAACAGCTTGCTGTGGACCAAAGAAAAAACAAATACCAGTCATAAGTGTTATTTCTTCATTACAGACTAAATGGTAATACACGGAACGTCATTTGCATAAAGTCGCCATTTAACCAACGACAAAGCTAAATATGGTGCCATTGATGCTACGGATTTATGTCATCAGTGTTAGGTGATTCTCACTTATGGATTCAGTGAAGTCACTAGGCAGAGGAAGCTGGTTGTATGGGAATCGCAGACGATATGACATTGAATCCAAGAAGACCACTCCCACGTAGCCATCAGGTTCATAGAGACTGGCATTCTCCAAGTCTTCCTCAGTGGAGAACATATCTAATCGCTCATTCATAGCTGAGGAATCAACACCAAGAAACAAATATTTACAGTAAGTGTTCTACTTTACTACCAGAGTCAATGCTGCTTCATCACAAATTAGCAGAGCATTCAATAACACACCATGCAATGCTAGTTAGATGTTTGCTTTTTTAAAGAAAGACAAATAAATGTGCCTTACGCAGTTCCCGCGCAACCTCTTCCATGATGTGATTGGTGACATTGTTGATGGGGGTGTAGCCAAGACCTTTGAGCGTCAGGTCCCGTTCATACTCCAGCTCCTTAGTGCTGATACTGCCGTATGAGACATGAGGGTTGAGGGTGCTGATGAGGATCAGGAGGCCCAGGAGGAGCAACGGCAAGATCAGCTCCTGCAATGAGAGAAGAGGAACACTTCAAATTTGACAGGGAAAATACTGTTCTAAAAAGAACAATTAATTATAAAAGCGAATAAAATTATATATAATTAACCATTTAATACTGTAAATACTAATAATATTAAATCAAATTAGTTAATGAAATATCCTACAAAATATTTTTAAAGTGTACACCTAATGTAAAATTACATTAGAAGAGGTAATTCAGATAAAAAGAGGTAAATCCAATCAATATTGTCATGTTGTCTAAACTACAGCTCTTGATTTACTGCCTTATATAGGCCATAAATACATGAGCGCCAGTGAGGGATCATCCCTCTGGGTTCATTTGCCAGACCATGACATGAGTTTAGCTTTTAATGTGCCTGTAGGGTGCTCACTACAATGTTTGTTGCAAAAGGTCAAGGCAATTTCATTTTAAGACCACACTGAAAAAACATCCCTTGAAACAGATTAGACTATTATAAATCTGTTTTTGCAAATGTACACTCTATTTGTTTTTAATGGATGCAACAAATGTCTAAAAAAAAAATAAAATAAAAAAATCCTGAAAAAATGTATCAGCTCCCACAAAAAAATAAAGTAGCGCAACTGATTGTTAAAAATTGTGCATGGTCCCTTCATAAATAAAGAAAGAAAGGTGATTTCAACATTAATAATAAGAATAAATGCCATTCGATCAACAAATCAGCATATTAGAATTATATTAAAATGATTTTTGAAGGATCATGTGACACTAAGGACTAGAGTAAAGGTACTGAAAATTCAGCTTTGACAAAGGGTATGCGCATGACGTCCCTGTCGGTCAAAGTGACTGAGGTTGCGCCCATCGAGTGGCAGCATTGGTTATCAGTGTGAATGCTGCGAAAAAGAAAACGCATCAAAAACGGGTAAGAGCTTTGCGATTGACTGAAATATGAAATCCAGTCACACAGCAGCTCTTTTACCACTCAAGCCCGGATGAGGGGGGCGTGTTCCGGTAGGAAAGTGATATACCCTCTACTTTACAGTAAAAAAAAACAAGCAGACTTGGTGAGGACATTTTCTACAAAAATGTGAATAGTAGTGTATCTGTGTCTGATACATGTTGTGTCACATAGTGTGTTAAATCATTAACACCTAATACTGACTGAATAACTTTGACCTACACTAATGAACCCCACTACACCCAATAACTCAGCACAACACAACTAGCTTCAGCATCTCCACCTCCAGGAAAATCAATACAGAGAAGGCACTTACTGGAAAAAAGCCCAAACATGACTGCTGCATAACAATTCATTTTTGGTCCATTTCTAACCGCTTTCCATAACGGATCATGACAAGCTTCCCTTTGCGAAGTCGGTTTAAAAGTATTATTGACGGCATGAACTATGGCAGAACAACAATCCATTAAAAGCCTTTTAATTCTGAAAGACTCTTACGTGGTCCTTCATGAAACAACAGGAAGCAGAGAGGCATTAAAAATACATTTAAGAAAGCTACCTTACATTAAAAAAACACATGACCCCAAGAACAGAAAATGAGGAAAGATTTATGATGGATGTAGGATTTTTCCTTTACACTTTCCAGATCAAAACAGAGAATACAAATCCTGCTGGGTTTTAAAGAGTCAGCAGAGTGGATAGAAGAGGATTTCATTCAGATGCAGCGGATTTTATAAAGCAGCCTCAGTAATAGGAATTTTAGATAGCTCATTTAGCAGATGCTTATCAAATGTGCATTCACTTAGTAAAGGACAAATCCTCCTGAAGTAAAATGATACATTATAGTCTCTTTTCCCGTTTTGTGACACATCCGAATGAAATGGCTGCCCGAACAAGAACAAATGTAGGGAAGGACTTGATTTTGTCCATAAGGAATTGATTGGATGATTTGCTACTGCTGTGATGTCATTTGAGTGAGAGCAAGTTCTTTTGATTAAAGATCACAAAGGCACACAAATTAAAAATACATGATAAATAATTTATTATAAATACTCTGAAATATTCAATAGAGAATAAAAATTGTCTGTTGATTTCATGGTGACTTTAACAGATTCAAGTGGACTCTTCAAGCACTCCTTGAGAAGCATTTACTGAAGGAGTTCAATACCAGTGCATAGAATAGACAACGTGCAAAATGCTTTAACAGTGCCACAGATTTGCACGTAGAGAAAGGGAAAATAAAGCGTGTGAGTGACAGATGAAAGGCACCTGGAGACTCTGTTGTTTGGTCCTCCATTTGATCAGCAGGTTTTTGTAGAGCAGGCTCCTCGTCTGATGCCAGACTCCGGCATCTCTTCTGGTTATGGGCTGCATACTTCCAGCATGCTTCAGCTGACTGGCACATGGATCAGACTCAGCTGCAAAACAAAACACAACCTTCTCATTCCAAAACAAAAAATAGGTTTGAAGTTTTGCTTTAAGTTTGTTGGCACAAAATTTAAGGTTTTTTTTATTTTTTATATGTTTTTTAATTTATATGTCACAGCAGCACATAAATACAATAAAAATAAAGTAAAAACACAAAAACAACAGGTCTTGTACTCAAATATCAATTTTTCAAAGCATTATGACTATGATTATATATATGACCATCATCTTATATAGCACTGATTGTAAAATCTAATTGCAGTTGGAAAAAAAAGATTTTCTAAAACGCTCTTTGTAACAGCGTGGATGAATTAATCTTGAGCTGTGGGTACTCACATAAGCTTGAGATATTTGATTAAGAGGATGATGGTCATGATTAATCATAAGAGAAAGTTTTCCAATCATTCTATCGTGCATTATCTCGTCTACAGTGGGTAACACACTCCCCACGACAGAGCCTGCCTTCTTTTTAAGTTTATTTAACTTATTCTTCTCCTTTCCAACAGTCCCCCTCCCCAACATGTAACAAAGTACAAAATAACAGATGAGACTACAGAATCATAGAATGTCTTAAGTAGTACCTGACGTACCCCAAAGGATCTCAGCCGTCGTAACTTATCAACTTCAATATTCTCAGAGATATGACAGCATGTGAGAATGATGCTCTTACCTTTTTTAAATGATCCCATCTTTTACTTTGTACTATTGGAGATGCAGTGTAACCAAGATATTTACATTGTCCTAATGAATCACATCACATTTAACATTAAACTGCTGCACTGCCTATTCAACATGAAACAACAGTTTCATGTTAACTGTAACTTCATTGACAATGATTTGCATAGATGAACACTTCATCCATTCATTCTAATGTGAGAACTAGCATTTTAACAGTACAGTAGCTCAAAGGTAATTCAGATTTTAAAAAAAAAGGATTACAGCAGCATAATAATTGATTTTTCGTTACTAATAAACAATAGAAAGAAAAGAAAAAAGACAAATAATGAATAGCAAGAATTGGACTGTGTTATTTAATATCAAACATAGATTGTTTGCAGTTTCTGTTAAGACTGCAACGTGTCATTAGTCAATGTTAAGACTGATGACACCTTGGGAAATGTGAGTACAAACGTAACTGCAGATAATAACGAACAAGAGAGTGCAAAGTGCGGCAGTGTGTTGTTTACCTACCAGGAAAAGTTTGCAACAAAAAAGTCAGTAATTTCTATCCTAAAAAAAAAAAAAAAAAAAAAAAAAGCCACTGCGCGTGCATTTGACATGTTGCGCGTGCTCGCGCGGTGCAGGTCAAAAAACGCCTGGGCTGGGTTTCGCCCCTTCACCTTTTCTTTAATACAGATAACATAGGTTTTCCTCTAATGAACATGACATATTAGAGCCAACAGTGCAAGATGTCGATAAAATAATGAGTTTTGCTCGCTGCTCTCGGTGTGTAAACACTGACAGCTAACGCTAACCGGCTAACAGCTTTCCCTCAAGCTTAAACAAGGAAGTACACTTACGTATGAAATACATTAAGACATGTCTTTCCTTTTCTCCGGTTTCGCTTTGTTCTTTCCAAATAAATAACCTTTAGGAAATAAATAACAAAAGGGAATAGATCCAAGGTGGCGTTGTCAACACTATACTTGCGCCTCTGCTCTGCTGCCATCAGCTGGACCGACCAGTTTGTCAGCCAATCAGCGCAGCCCTACAACTTCGAGACTCATGAGTTGTCGGAGTCAAGCAAACCAATCACGAACCTCAGATCTTGTTGGACTGCGCTGATTGGTTTTGGGGTTTTTGATTGACATTATCACAACACCTCCCACCGCGCCTGCTTTAGTTTTGACCCACAGGTCTGAGTTTTTGAGGAATTTATTAATGTGGCCCTGACTATTTTATTAATTACGTTATATTGTCTGTCCTCAATAGTTAATAATTGATTTATTCCACATGTTTTCTAAATAGCTGTATGCTCAATTTAGATGCAAATTAAATCCCTTGCACCTGAAGATGCAATGCAATGCAGTGCTAGATATCCTGCTGTGCTTGCATTGTTTTGCTTGGTGGAAACATGAGAAACAGTTTACACTGAAATATTGACATGTAGTCCTAATATCCACTAAGTGGGAGCCAAAAAAATATGATACACGTTTCAGAGTGCTGACAGTACAGGATTGCAGTCAGGAACAGTGTTTTAATGTGTAAAGGATACAGATCTTTGAGTGATCATATGCTTTTGGACTACTACTGTATGTTCCTAAAAGTGAAACATTTGTGTACTATGAAGTCCAATTAACTATAGATACTGTCTTTAAAACTTACCTTGACAAAATGTCACCACTGTAGCTTATATATTGACGATCAGATGTACAATGCAGACACTATTGCAATCACTTTGTCAATCAAATTTATTTGGTTACAAAAAAAAGGTATAAAATTAAGAGTAGAAAAAGTGTCTATGCATGTATAATTATGAAAAACAAAAAAATACAGTCTTTTCAAAGAAAAGGCAACCATTTTTTTTTTTTTTTTACTTTTTTGATTAAAAACATTCCACTGAGGATAATGAACTACATTAAATATGCCACCTTGTCTGGTACTAAACTAACACAAACCCAAAAGGATTTTAGAGAAAACAGCTATGCAGAAACCTGCATGACAGTGAAGGCAAATTTACAATGATTATTAACAGTAAACACAAAATGACATCATCAGTAAATAATACGGTCACAGAAGCCAGACATATGAATCATAAGCAATGTGACAGTACATTAATATGTGCAAGACCTGAGGGATTAATACTTCCACAACCACAGAAGCTGTGAAATATATATTGCTCCCAGGGGAATGAGACGGGTATATTTGACTCCTCAGTCACATAAGCAACAAGCATCGCCATTTCAGTTCTGCAGATTTGAATATGTTTTTTGGGGGGAACTGCTTAAATAATTTCAGTTGTTACTATAAGGCCTGATATAAATATTCAACCAGAAGGCATCCATGGCAGGTTTTTATCCCCTGTCGCATTGGCTTGGCTTTAAAGAAATATATATTTGCATGTCATTTTGAGAAGTTTTTGACATAAGTCAAGGCCATTGAATTCATGCCAATCAGATTTGCCATGTACAGAAACCAATGGACTAAAAAAAAAAATTAAAGCTGACATGGCAAGTCACCTGTCTTCACAAAAAAGCTAGGAGTATTTTTAGCATAAAATAGGTTTTTGTAGCTCTTTCATTCAAGTTCTTTCATCCATGGTACAGCTCTTCCATTTGGATAGAAGAAGAAACCTTCCACTTGGTCTCTAAAAGTTTTCAATAGTGCTGATGCTGGGGTCGAGAGGAGACAGTCTATACTGGATCTTCAGTGTTTGCGGGTGCGCTGGCCCCCTGCTCCAGTGGTTGTGACGTACAGGAGGGGCTGAAGTTGCCTGGTTTGAGGGCCACGCTTAATGAGGTATGAGGGCAGGTTGGAGGAAGTGACATCTGCTGTTGATCCTGTGGAGAATGAATGGAGATAAATCAACAGGAAATCTAAATTTATTATGCCACTTTTATGCCACTTTATGAAGTCTTTATTTTTGTTTCGGGGTCTACTAAAATAGGTTTTCATGCTTTAATGTTTAAAAACATTATTTTTCACAAATTTTACATAGTGCCAGCATCTTTCGTCCCAGTCTGTCAGTAACACTGTTTATTTCGGGGCTCTGTGAAACCCCTCCTTCTGAAAAGTGCAATGTGCTCTGATTGGTCGGCTGGGGTGTTGTGATTGGTCAACCACGTCGAGCGTGTTTCAGAAATGTCACACCCCTTACCATAACCCAGAGTTTCAACACACTACTAACACAACTCAACCAGGCCTGGCCCTCCTTTTTTTTGAGTATGCCTTGGGTGGGAAGTTGGGTGCCCAGGTAAAATAAGTGTTTTCTTACAATACTAATGAGAATTTTTAGTTAAAGTATATTACAAACTTTTAATTTAGAACCTAAAGAATCATATTCGCTTGTACAAAAATGGCATCCCTTTAAATGAGAGATATTGTGATGTGTACGTTCCTGGAAGAAAATTTAAGACTACAATCGAGGTATGTCAGGGATTCAGAAACAGTGTGCACTGATAGAGAATAACTCCCTTTTGGAGTGACTTTGTGCTTTGCAACTCTGCAGACATTTTTCATGCTCAAACACCGACATTACACACTAAAGAAAGTTAAAATGTAAAAAAAATAAAATAAAAAAAATAAAAAAAATCATAATAGGTCCCCTTTAATACACGTTCTTGATCACATTGCACACAATACATTTGTGCATTTCAAAGAAAGAAATCATATTGAATCTCACTGGTCTACAGTGAATGCAAATTGGATCAATGCAAAATAGGTTTAACTTGTGATAAATGCAGCTTGCAGTCATGTATAAAATAGTCAAGGTTGTAAATATATTTTTTGTCTTTCACTTTTCTATCACTAAAAGAAGACTACAATTGTGATGTCAGACCTGTTTGGTGGCTGTTGTGAGAGGGTCGAGCTTTAGCAAGCGGAGGTTGGGCTCTGTGTTGGGGACGCGGGCCGGGGGCCGGGGGGTGACCGTTAATGTGCAGGTGGGGATCAGAAGTGCTGTCAAGGGGACGAAATCGCTGGCTGGTGTTCTTCGCCTGAGACAACTGGAGGGTGGAGAAAAATCTGAGTTTGTTGAATTAAACTAAACAAATAAATCAAACGACTGTGTCAAGAACAATTATAAAGGTTATAGAGAAATGATGTGTTGAAGCCTATTTTTAGCACCAATAAATATTTCTGCATTATAATATTATTTTCGTGACAGTTAAGCACATTTCCCATTACTATAATGCAAAAAAGTATAATATATATATATATATATATATACAAAAGTTGTAAAATGCTTGGGGTCAGTAAGATTTTTCACTTAAAGAAAGATACTTCTATTCAGTAAGGACACATTCAATTGATCAAAAGTGAGAGTAAAAACTTTAGCAAACAACTTGCATTGTTACAAAAGATTTATATTTCAAATATATGCTTTTCTATTGAACTTGACATTTATCAAAAATTAAATCCACAAAAATATTAAGCAGCAACACAACTGTTTTCAACATTGATAATAATGTTGCCTGAGCATCAAATCAGCATATTAGAATAATTTCTGAAGGATATATATATATATATATATATATATATATATATATGTAAATAGAAACAAATATTTTAAATTGTAATATTTTTTCACAATATTACTGCTTTTACTGTATTTTCAAATAAATGCAGCCTTGGTGAGCTTAAGAGATTATTTCAAAAACATAAAAATAAAATAAAATAAAAATTCTTACTCAAAAAGCCCAAACTTTTGAATGGTAATGTACATAATAGTGTGTGTTTCATACTTTGAAAATAATAGTATAGTTTTGAAGTAGTTTGAACTATTATTTTGAACCAAAACAAACAAACAAACATCCAGACACATTATACAAATGCAAATTTTGGGACAAAATGTGCTTTACGCTCTCAAAAATAAATAAATAAGGTCAATGCAAACAACCTTAATGGTCCATAAATGCACTTAATCTTCTTTATGCAAAAAAACGTCTCAGCTTTTTTGATTTTGGGGTTAAATGTGACTCGAACAGATTTTTGTGAGATTCATCCTTTAACACAGATGTTCATGGAAAAGCTTCATCTAAAAACTCACTGCTTGTCCTGTGACTTCAAACGATCGAGATCTTCTCTTGCGTCTGCGACCCTCGAAGTCCTGTTCCCGTGGGGCGGGGTTCTTGACAGCCTGGCGGTTCCGTGGCCGTGTCCAGGTGGCGTTGGGTGCGGGGCCGTCTCCCGTGCTGCTGGACAGGTTGTCGTCAGAGGTGGCGTGGCGTAGTTCTGGGCTGGGCTGTCTCCCGCGCCGTAGCACCAGGCCTTTAGGGGGCGCCTCGGACAGAGACAGGTTACTCTTGTGCTTCTTTGGGTCGAGGGGTGAGGGTGGCGGGGGCAATCGCAGGGCATCTATTTCTAGTGCCTTAGAGCGGCGCCGAGCAGCCTTGACCGCAATGTTCTGCACGCCTCTTAGAATCTGCTGTCTCTCTGGAGGAAAATGGTACACTATGAGTGGATACATTGCTGTATTATGTGAGAAGAAGCTGTGCAGGAAATGTGTTGCCATAGTTTAGGGTCACTATATAAAAATAACATCACAGAATGCCTCAATTGACCAATCAGAATGAAGTATTCCAGAGAGCTGCTGTGTAACAAGCACAAAGATGAAAGGGCAGAGGAAAGGTTACCTTTAGGAGTCAGAGGGGCATCTGTGCCGTTCTCGCTGCTCTCAGGTGAAGAGTCCAGATGGCTGCTCATACTGTGACTGAGATGGCTGAATCTCAGAGCGTCATCCAGGACAGATGGCAACAGCTGCAGAGGTACAGTCAGCATGGTGTCAGAAACACTGGTTTGTTCAGTACACACAGTTACAAAAACTGAGAAACCAATTCAAATATATAAAAAGAATATTCACACTTTCCCTGAATATTTTAAAATCACAATTTGCATGAATATTAGCGTTCAAAAAGTGTGGGGTCAGTACGATTTTTCAACGTTTTTCTCACCTATCTTGTACTAAAGCTGCACTTATTTGATGAAAAATACAGTCAAAAAAAGTAATATTGTGA